TGGTTGAGACAGGGTTTGTCTTTGTAGCCCAGGCTGAGCACAAACTCATTTTTCCTGCCTCAACCTCCCAAATGCTGGGATTACAGGCATATGCCACCTTTCCTGGCTCTAACACAAGGATGTTTTAACAAATAATTTTTAACATAGTATCTTTTTAGTTATTCTTGTTATTAAAAATAAATGATTATTTTACTCTAGAGTCTTTGCATTTTACTGAATGGGCTCTTTATTTTGACAGTTTTTGTTATTAATATTGTTGTTATTTGATGTCATTGTTTCCATAAGCTACAGTATAGAGACCAATGTGTGGTTCAGGTGATAGGGACATAGAAGAAAAAATGTGATGGTTTATAAGATTTTTTATTTTTGTGCCACATAACTCATTATCAGTCTTTCATGCATACCATGATACTTAGCATTGCTTTCCAAATTTATCCTTGGAAAACAGCTGAGAAATTTCAGTGAATCTCCTACATGTTTTGAATATGTCAAAGCAAAACTAACCTTGTAAAAATAATCCCATTTATTTGTCTCTTTGCATATTTATGGGATATTGCTTCTCTTTAAAGCTTAGGAATGAAGATTGCATAGTCACTTCATAGGTAGTGGAGAAATCAAATGCTTTCTGAAAATTATCCCAAGTTGGTAAACTGATAATTAAATGTGTATAAAATTAGTATGAACACTACTGTTCTGCTTTGGAAAATTTATATTAAGTCTAGCCCGGCATTGTGGTACCTGTCATTCCAGCACTCAGGAGGCTGAGGTAGGATTGCTTTGAGCTCAAGTCCAGCCTGGGCTGTTTATGAGGAAGTTCAAGGCCAGTCTGCACTACATAGTGTATCAAGAAAAGAGAGAAAGAGGGAGAGAGTGTCTTTCCATTATCAGTAATAATATTTGTATGTATGTTGGAAAGAATACTTGATATATAAAATTATGGGAAATATGTATTAGGATTTTTCCAGAGAAAGGACCAATAGAATATAGACACAGATACAGATATAAGGATATATTGGTTCACGAACTTAGTTTTTTCTCCAGTTCTGATCAAGTTGGAAAAGAACCAGATCAAGCACAACATGCTATATGAGTCCCGCCCCTGGGCACACTGAGCCCGCCTGGGCCCATTGCTGGGGAGGATGAAAACAGGAGGATCATCATGAGTCCAAGCTGTGTAGTGAGACCCTGTACCAAATACATTTAAAAACAAAATAAGAACCAAATCAAGTTTCCCCCATAAAGACAACGTTGAACCTATCCATTAAATTTCATTGGTTCTTGTCAATTCATTTTGCAACAGAATACTGGAAAGAATTAAGTTTGTGAACCAGGGTACTGCTGTACAGAATAGATACAGTTACAGATGTGTTAGAGGGCATTTATTAGCAGAATTAGTTCACATGATTATAGTTGCCAAGATGTTCCATGGCAGATCATTTGAAAAAAGAGACCTTTTAACCTTGGTAGTGTGGCTCAGACCTGGTTGAAAGCTCCAGAACCATGGAAGCTGATGGTATAATTTTCAGTTTCAAGCAAAAGACTTGAAAAATCAGAAAGAAGGTTGAAAATCTAGCCACTTGATAAAAGTCCTGGAGTTTGGAAGCTAGAAGAGAGAAGGAAAGTTGCTTCTCTGTCCTTTGCTAATACAAAGTATGTGGGCCAGCAGCTGAGTTGATGGTACCTCCACATTCAGGGTATTATCTTCCCCACTCAGTCTCCTTGATTGGCATGCCAGTCTTCTTCACATTTGGGTAAAAGGTTTACTAGTCCTTTGATATTCCTAAGTCTGTTGAAATTGACACCTAAGATTAACGTTCATAATAATACATTTTTTTTTAAAAAACATGAGGCTTGGTAGTCAGGAATGCATACTTTGCAAGGAAGATGTTATATGCTTTAATTATATTTTTGATGGAAACTTAAGACATATAACCAAATTGATAATAAATCAGTCTTGCAAAATAGTTTATATTTTTAGTCTCTTTTTTTACTCCTTCATGTAGACCAGTATCAGTTTTGTACTAGATAGGTATTAAGGATGTATAATTAATTTGTGTGGCTATACCCATTATTCCTTATTCTTTTCAGTTGTATGTTCATGTTTTTTTCTTTCTAGAATATAAGATTCATTATTGAAAAAGTTAAAAATGTTGAGTGACTTGAGTTGAAAATGTTGAATATTTTTAGTAACAGTGGAGGTTCATTATTTTTAAATCTATTTATAGATGAAATCAGAAATTTGTATCTATTTAGCCTGTTATAAATAATATCTGAATATAAAAATGTCTTCAACCTTAATTTTCTAATTTTATTTTATGGAGATAAATTTTCATTTGATTTTTCTTCACTGATAATATGATGTTTTTTTTTCTGCTTTACTTAAAACCAGAAAAAAAATTACTTTTCTTTCTTTGCTTTTTAAAGGAGCGCTATAGTTATGTATGCCCAGATTTAGTAAAAGAGTTTAACAAGTACGACACAGATGGATCAAAGTGGATTAAACAGTATACTGGAATCAATGCCATCTCAAAGAAAGAATTTTCCATTGATGTTGGTTATGAGAGATTCCTGGGACCTGAAATCTTTTTTCATCCAGAGGTAACTTTATTTTCTTACTTTTTTTTTTTTTTTGGATGGAATTTCTCTGAAACATTCACTAAAACTCAATTAGAAGATATTGAAAGACAATCTCCAAAACTTTTATACACTGAAGTATTATAGATTTTGCTTGCTTTTTTTTTTTTTTTTGGCAGAACTGGGGATTGAACTCAGGCCCTTATGCTTGCTAGGCAAGCATTTATTCTACTGAGCTATCTCCCCGGCCCCTGAAGTATTACATAGAGAGTAAAAATTTTTTTTTTTTTTTTTAATGGAAAACTTAGTTTTGCTTAGAGACTAAACTATTACAGTATTTTATGTGTACTTGAAAAAAATGGAACTTTTGTCTGTCTGTGGTCTGTGGGAAGAGGATCATGGAAATGCATGGAAGGAAAGTTTAAAGTAATTTCCCAGATGGCGAAGGCTTTAGAAAGCACCCAAACCCCAGTAAAATGACCATTATACAAAGAATCTTCAATGCACTCTCTTAAAATATTTAGTAACAAAGCAGTTTATCTTGGTGAAATCTTAGTAACATAAAGACTACTAAGTTAATGAAATATATGCTTTTGGTGATAATTCTAGCATCATAAGCTGAACTTGATTAGAGTTTCAATCATTACATGCCTATTGTGCTTATTTAACGATATTTTTAATGTTATTTAACAGATACTAAATGTGCATGATTTTCAAGGTATCACTTTAAGCATTAGTTATTTAAAGATGTAAGATTATTTAATCTTATGAACTCAAAGATAGAGACAGATGAATTCTTTAAATTGGTGTAGTTTGCAGCACCAGAGTCTTTTTCAGAGACTTCCCTGAGGAAATGACAGTTCAAGTTAGTATAATGGAACAGTTCAATGAGTATTTGTCAGGCATGTGTGTCAAGGGAGTTTATTTCTGGTAGAGGGAATAAGCTGAACAGAAGCCTGGGCGATGAGTGAGCTAAATAATAACAAAGTAGAGGATTGATGGTAGATGCACCCAGTCACATATTATGCACTGTGTTACCAAGGACAAATATACTGCAAAGGAGTTCACTGGATTTTGTATTTAATGTGGAACTCTTCATCATGAAAGTAGTACAGATTTATGGGTGATATTAGGTTACTGAGGCAGCGCTAGATTAGGTGGATTAGATAGAGAGGTGTGAATTTTGTTGGAATAGGTCAGTTGTTGTGTAGGTATAAGGAGAGTTAAGGATATGAAGAACCTGTGATGATTCTGATGTTTGTAACTTGAGCAACAAGATGTGCCGTCCAGTGTAATTAGGAACATGAAGAAGAGGAAAGGAGCAGAGGAGTTTATTGTGTGTATCTTTAGGTCAAAAACAAACATTTGGATTGTGATCTGGACTGAGTGCCTTAGAGTGAGGATAGCTGTGGATCATCAACATATATGGTGCAAATGGAGAGTTTGGCTAGGAGAAGCCAGTGCATAGGATAAAGGTCAAGAATTAGGCCGTAAGGAAAACAACACTGTGTGAATAGTCAAGAAAAGAGGAATCTGCAAAGAATCCTGATAATTACAGAGAAGATTATAGTCATAAAATTGAGAAAATTGAATTGTATCATTTCCTGCAGTGAAATAGTATTACTGTGTCTCATGGTTTTCTGAGCATCTATGTTTTGGATAGTCCTAGAGGAGCAGTTTTAATGAAGTGGTATAATAGAAGTAGCATATTGCATCAGTGAGAAGCAAAGGTTTGGAAATTAGAAGTGTGAGATTTCTGGAAGGTCACTAATTAAAAAAAGACACTGCTTGGGGTATTGTAAGATTTATATAAATAGTGCAGAGCTGGGAGGAATATTAATGGTAATTATTTGAAAACTAGGTAACTTATGAATGACTGTGGAAAACAAGGATTCCATAGATAACTGTACAACTTATAGCTGAGCCATATAGCTCATATCAAAATTTACTTGTAGAACTAGAAGGTGAATTTTGACCTAATTCAAGTTATAATGTAACTACACAGATGAAAAGGAAGCGGAAAGGCTCTGTGTGTGCTGGGGAAAAGAGAAAAGGCAGCCTCTTTTTCCAGGTAGAAGTTGATTCAAAATGACAAAAACTGAGGGAAGAAACTGAAGGTGCAATATAAACTAGCAGTTCACAGTATGGAGGTAGCCAGCAAAAGAATAGGGACCATGAAAGAACTTGAAGTAATTACCTCTATAATGAAAAAGAAAGCATGCAGGTCATTCCTAGCTTTTAGAATTTGGAGAACTTTGACTTTTAATAGTCATAAACATAGTGGCACATGCCTATAACCCCAGCACACAGGTGGTTGAGGCAGAAGACAATCTCCAAATTCAAGATCAGTCTGGGCTACATAGTGGGGAGTTCAAAGCCACTTTCAAATACATGGTGAGATCCTACTTCAAAAACAAGAAAACACACACAAATGAGAACACAAAATAGATTTTCTATAGAAGAAATTATTTACATTACTTACTAAATTTTCTTTTTGGCTTTAAAAACATTTCAGTCATGAGAAATAAAGCTATGGGGAGTAAAAGGTTTTTTAAAAGTTTTAAAAAATTTAATGAGAAATCTATGTCAAACAACCAAATACCTTTATCTTGTACTCTTGAGTAATTAATTTTTTTGGGGGGGAGCGGCTCAGCCTATCCTGAGGGTGGGGCTGGGACAGCATGTGGTACCGGGGATCGAACTACTGTCCTCTGTGCTTGCCTAAGTTTCCCTGTGCAGGCACTTGGACCGCTGAGCTATTCGCTAGCCCTTGAGTAATTAATTTAAAGGTAACAGTACACAGTGTGTTAACCATTGTTACTCTCCTGTTAATCTTGTTTTGAAATTTTGTTTTTCGCTTTAAAATCATGTCAAAAAATTTTTAAACTTGTGTTAAACAGTAAATGTTAATCTTTAAACAATACTCTAAACATTAGCAACTAACATGAAATATGAGCAACTAGATAATTTTCATTAAGCCAACTGTCATGTTCCTAGCAAAATACATTTCATTTCCATACTTACAGTTCTAAGTTTTGTAAGAGAGCCAAGGTTTAGCAAAGCTCATCTTTCAAGAGTAGTTCAGTCAAATCTTTCCTCCTCTGAAACTCAGTTACCTATTTTTCATCCCTTTGCATTCTTTTCCTTTTTTTTTTTTGTATCATCTGTTAATAAAGTTCCTAATTAAAGGTGCTTGGAAGATGAAAATTTTAAGACACCTTATGTGTCTGAAAGGTACTCATTTTGTCCTTACACTTGTTTGTTAGGTTGATTATAGAATTTTGTATCAGAAACCATCTTTTGTGAGCAATTTGAATCCATTGCTTAATTTTTTTTTGTAACTTGAAATTAAAATAATTGATTTCTATGGATAAGGACCTATTTTTTCCCCCCTCTGCAGATACTTGTAAGATTTTTACTGTGTACTAGCTTCTAGTGTATGGTCTTCATTTTCTTTTTCTTTTTGGTGTAATCTGAAAAGAGCAGTAACACTGTGCCACTTTTCTAGCCCTTTGAATTTTAGTTCTATTTATTGAGACAGGATCTTGCTGATTTGTCCAGGCTAGTTCCAAACTTGGCAATCTTTCTGCCTCAGCCTCCCAAGTAGCTGATTTTTATAGGTGTGTGCTGCAGTTAATGGCCAATCACAGGTTCTGTGTTACTGTTGCTGAGACATAATACCTAACACCCAGATTTTACAGAAGCAAAGGCTTATTTGGTTCACAATTTCCAGTGGATTCAGTCCATATTTTGTGGCTCCAAGGCAGAAGTAACATAGAAGGGCACGATGGAGGCAAGCTTCTTAGCTCTTGGCAGCAGGGAAGGAGAATAAGGGATGAGAAACCTTGGACTAGAAGCACCCTTCCAGGTCATGTTCCTGGTGGCCCACCAGGTGCCACCTCCTAGAGCACATTTAGCTTCTGAACATAACCAGTGTATGTATGCGTTCCTCAATGAGGATAGCAGCACCATGATCCAGTCACCTTCTAAGTATGATACTTCGAGGGCATACATTACATCTAAACTGTAGGAGGCTTTTTCTCCAAGTTTTATTTTTGTATTGTCTCTTGTAAATTGCTTTTTCTCACTTTGCAGAGCTATATTTTTCATGATAGTAGATACTTCTTCATGATACTTACTTACAAAGGGGACACCAGATGCCAAATTGTAGAGCTTTGAGGATTTTGCTTGTTGACTCAATTAGCCTTTTCTTTAGGATAATCCCCTGTGTGTTTCTTTATGCCTGTTTGGATTCTCAGTGAAGACCCTTAATAAAGGGTAAAGGTGTGTATGAGCAATAGGCTTCACTTAATACCTCACCCTACCTGTGCACTTCTACTATTTTTGGCTGTGTATATGGACACATTGTTTTACTGTCTGTAAAGCATAGATTAACTAGTTTGCCTCAAGTGAGGAGGAGCATTCAGTGTTCTTGTTTGTTTGGAGACGCTCTGGGCACCTGGCCCATCAGAAAATCTTTGGAACCATTTTTTGCTCCACTTCATATTCTGAGATACTAGGCATCATTAGTTCTTTGAGAGAGATTTATGATGTAAAACAGCATAGTTCTTTACCAGTTTTATGTCATTCATTGGTTTTAAAGGGACTACATGGTTGTGCACACCTGCTTTTTAGCTTTCCGTTTTCTTTTTTTGGGGACTGCTTTTTCTATAACTTAAAGTTTTTGTTTAAATTTTTTCTCTTAACTGTTTTTAGAAGAGTTAGTATATGCACTGCTGAAGTGAGCACTTAAAAGAGTTTCAGAAACAATTAAGTATGTGTGTTTAAATCACTGTTTGCTCAGAGAATAGGTCTGTTTTTTCCCCCTGTATTCTATGAACTGGCAACTTCTCAAGGAAAAGGATTTTTTTCCTGTAATTCTAGATCTGTTTTCTAGTTCCCTTGTCATTTGAAGGGTGTGTGTGTGCATGCGTGAATATATATTGTTGATTCATCATCATTAGTCTTAACAGCCAGTAGCACTGTAACTCATGTCTGAACAAAGCTGAGTGGCATTTTCTCTGTAAGATTAATATCATAGCTTTCTTATATTTCGGAACACTACTGCTTCTAAGAAACATGCCTGAGTTTCATTTTCGACAGCAACATCAAAAACAAAACAAAACATGAAAAGTGTTATACTAAATGGACTATGAAAGGAAGTTGTTTAGAGAGAGCTGAAACAAGGCACAGTGTCACTTTCTTCAACCTCAGCTGGCAATGTGCACATCAGTAGACTCAAACTTGCTGTTGTAAGTGTGTCTTGGTAACCCTTCTTTTGTTGCTGGGACAAATACTGGAAACCCAAAATGAAGAAAAAAAGGTTTATTTAGCTCACAATTATTGGAGGTTTCAGTCCATACTCAGCTGGCTCCAGGGCAAAGTGGCACATAGCAGAGGGCAACCTTTAATGGCAGTGGCAAAGAGTGAGAGAACAAAGGGAGGGGTAGTGGGAACAGTGGCAACAGAGACAAAAGTCTGTCTCCCTTAAGTTGCATTCAGGCTGTCCACCCCAGGCTGGGTACAATACTCGCACCCATAGTCCCAGCAGCACTCACACCCATAATCCCAGTGGATCATGAGTTAATCACAAACTCTAGATGTCCACCCCATGGCTGTGTGAGGCTTGGCGGGAGGTACGGGGTAACTAGACACAAACCATAACAGCATGTGTATGCACAAGTGATTGCAATGTCATTTGATGTATTCATTTGGAAGCTATAGATTACTTTTAACAATCTGGTAAATTGCATAATAGGATCTGTGAGTAGTAAAGATAGACTCTACAATATTTATGTATTTTATTCCCTACTGATGGAGACTTACCAGTTCTTATTTTTATAAGCAAATCTACAGTGGTCTTCTTTTTTCACATTCCAGTGATATATTAAGGAAAATGTCTAGGATGGGATGGGGTCGAGGAGCTTGCTTAACCCATGAGCACTGCAGAGACAAAACCTGAGACCTGGCAGCCCATGGATTGGCTCTGCTTTGGGCCAAAGAATTGGCTGGTTTAGGGCTAATCCAGGGACCTGGGTGGAGCTCCTGTAGAGCCACGGCCAGGAGGGGTCCACGATGCCTTCCTTACACACTGCACTTTGTGCAACAGTGTGGATTCCTGCAGGGTTTGTTCTGAAGTGTGCTTATTAGTATGTGCATGTAAAAATTTTTTTAGATGTAGAAGGCCAAATTGCCTTCCAAAGTGGTTCCATTGATAATGTCGTCTCAGCAGCATATGATAGTTCCTATTTATATGGATTTTTGCCACTTCATAATGTTTTTATGGCTTTTATATGTTTGCTAACAAAATATATCAGTGTTTTGAGTTTTTTGTGAAGTATGTAATTTCAGTATCTTTAATTTGAACCTGTTGAATGTCAGAATTTTTTTTTTTTTCTTTTTTTTTTAACTGGGTATTGAACTTTCAGGACTTTGGGCTTGTTAGGCAGGCACGTTGCTGCTGAGCTATATCCCTGGCCCTGAATTTATACTTTTTACACTTGATCTTAGCCAAAAGGCTGAGTAATGTTTTTTTTTTTTTTTTTTGTTTTGAGCTAGAAACTCTTTTTATTGTTACAATATTTAATTCAGTTATAATCTGATCTTGCTCATATATCCAAAATTACTTATTTTTTCAGTTTGCTAATCCAGACTTTACGCAACCTATTTCAGAAGTTGTAGATGAAGTAATTCAGAATTGTCCTATTGATGTCAGACGTCCTCTCTACAAGGTGAGTATTTATGGCAAAATTGTTACTCATAAGCTGTATTTTTAAAAAAATTTTTATCTGCCGATTGTTGAGTATTAAATACATCATGTAAAAAGGATGTGATTGAATTACACCTTTAAATTTTCACTTTCTTTTAAAATTGTATTTATTTTTCTCCACAAATACAGAATATTGTCCTCTCTGGAGGCTCAACCATGTTCAGGGACTTTGGACGTCGCTTGCAAAGAGATCTGAAAAGAACTGTAGATGCCAGGCTGAAATTAAGTGAGGAATTGAGTGGCGGTAGATTGAAGGTTGGTTTTCTCAAATATTGCTGGGAAATTGTGGGGATTGTCAGTGTTAGCTGACTTTTGCTCTTAGAAAAATAAGAGGGAATTTATTGCATATTCTGTGGAAAATGGGTAAGGCTACAGGGTCATGTCCGTGATGTTCTGGATCATAGGCTTATTAGGAAATACTATTTGTACTTCAGAAAAGTATTCTTAAGAGTTTTTTTTTTTTTTTTTTTTCTGAATGCCTTCAGGGCAGGTTTGACTGGCTTGAGTTGTGGGGATCAAACCACAGCAACCTGAGCCTGACTGCTTTGTTGAAGCAGCCACTTAAAGGACTGAGCTAAAGGGCAGGCCCCCAGTATTCTTATGAGATAGCTATGAAGAAAAGTATTTTTTTTTTTTTTTAATTCTTTCAGAGATAACTATTTGGGAGATTTTCTTGTGTACTTCCAACAAAATTCATTATGGATTCACAAAGTTTAGCAGGAGAATGAAAGTAGATAAGAGGTGAAGATTTGAGTGGTCAGGTTTGTTTTCATGACAAATTGGTGATGCTACAAAATGATTTAGGTCTTGGAACTGTGGAATAGGCTTCAAAAATTAAAATTAATTTTAAATTTCCAAATGCCTGCATTCTATAAGAAATATAATGTCTTGTGTATCATCCTTGTTAAATATTAATTAAAATAACTAATTCAGCATACTTTTGCTAAATAAAACTCACTCTACTTTGAAGATTACCAAGAATGATGGCTTTATCTGAATATACCACAGTCACTGAAGTGTACTTTAAGGGCGGGCCAAGTAGCTCAGGGGGATAAAAGTGCTTACAAACGGGTGTAGGAGCATCTCCTGGTTTGCCATGCTGGCCCTGCCCCCAGGGTGTGCTGAAAGGGGAATTAAGACTGGGCTTGGCACTCAAAATTCTAGCTCTCAGGAAGCTGTCAACAGGCAGATCACTACAAGTCTGATTAGTAGTGAGGCCCTGAACACCCTGTAAACCCTTCCCTAAAAAATATAAGAAAAAAAAATCAAGTTTACTTTAAAATACATTAGCAGTTTTCTTTTATTGAAAAAGTACATGAAAACTGACCATTTTCAGCAGCTAAAATTAGGATTATCTTAAATAAACCTGTTCCAGTCCTAGCCCAGGCCGGGTGAGTGTGTAGGAGAGCTTCCTGCTACCCTGTGCCTGCGGGACCTACTGCTGGTCCCAGCCCAGGTGCAGCATAGGTGAGACCCTCTTCCAACCCCTTGGGACGCCCCCCACCACTCCATAACCTCCCCTACCCCGCCCGCTGAGTAGGAATTTCTACTGCATTCCGGGAACCCCCAGACCCAGTCCTAGCCCAGGTCAGTGAGTGTGTGGGAGAGCTTCTGGCTACCCTGTGCCGGCGGGACCTATTACTGGTGCCAGCCCAGGCGCAGGGTGGGTGAGACCCTCTTCCACCCCCTTGGGACGCCCCCACCACTCCGCAGAACCTCCCCCACCGCGCCCACCAAGTAGGAATTTCTGCCCCGTTCCTGGAATCCCCAGACACAGTCCTAGCCCAGGTCCTTTGTGTGTGTGGGAGAGCTGCCTCTCCCCCCTACTCCACCTTGTCCCCTCCAAGCTCAGCTCAGGCCTGGCATACAGGCCTGGGGTGAAACCCTGCAGCTGAAATCCTGCAGAGAGTGTAGAGGATAGAACCACCCACCTAGTCCAGGAGCAGAACATCTTGCCACAGGGGCACAACAGGTTCACCCGCAAGGGTAGCAGTGGGAAGGAGCTGAGCACAGCAGCCAGACCCAAGCCAGGCACAGCTGGATAAATTAAATAAAACTGTTGCTTGAGATAGTAAAGTGTATGTTTTGAGCTTTGCCACTAAATGGCCTGAAGTCATATTCAAGCACTCTGCTCATGTAATAGATATTAAAATGTTTATTTTGGTTTTGCATCTCCCCTCCCATCCACCTACTGATGAGCTCACATCTTAAACCTCTCCACTTACCTGTTATAAAAAAGGTTGATGGGTTTTACAAACAGTTTTAGATTCTCTGTACTGAAAATCATGATTATGTGAACTTAGTATAGCCAGTTTCATTTGATTCAAATTTCTCCAGTTATTTTACTAATGTCTTTTTGTAGTGAGAGAAAAATTGTTTTCTGCTCTAGGATCTAATCAAAGATTACATTTCATTTAATTATTATACTCACATATTCACCATTTGTCTTGTATAACCTCAACATTTGAACAATATAAGCTATTTTATAAAATGTTCCTTGCTTTGGCTTTGTGTTAATTTTTACTGTGATTACGTTTAGTTTTAGAACTTTTCTGACAGTAAGATGGCAGTGATGTTCTGTCATTTTTAGTAGTAATGTGTCAGTGGACCCATTGTATGAACTGCTTGAGCTTTTGGTTAATGTTGTATCTGCTTGCTTTTTCTAATCTCTGGTTAATAATAAGGGGTTTTTTTGGTAGACACTTTGAGACAGTGTAACTATCCTGTTTCTCATCAAACTTTCCACCACTGGTTTTAATATGTATTGTAGTTTTTTCCTGAAATAGTCATTGCGGAGATAAGTGCCATACAACTTGTAAATTATGTCATTTCTTCTGATTCTTATTCTCATTTTTGTCCCTTTCTGCCAGTATGCGGGGGGGGGGGGCAGTTTGAACTGCTCACCTTGCTCTGTCTTTTCTGGCCCTGAAATCAAGTGTCATTGTGTCCATTCATCCATCCATTTACACACACACGCCCTACTGTGCTGCACCTAAACTTTTCCCAGTATTTTCCTATTTTAGTAGACAACGTTTAAAAAAAAAAAACAAACACTTTGGACACTAAGTATACTCATTTTTAGTAGTCTATTCAATATTGGTCTTCTCACTGGTCAGAGCAAAGGATGTGTGTGTGTCCATCAGTTACAGAACACCAGTAGGTTCATTCTAGCTTTCCATATTTGCAAGAGCTTTCCTTTACAATGACAGTGAGAAACCTCTCTTTTTACACACACACACACACACACACACACACACACACACACACACACACTTCTTTATATAAAAACAAATTCCTTGAAGCAGGGCCTTACTATGTAATGCAGGGTGGCTTGACCTTGTAACCCTCTTGCCTCAGTCTCTTGAATTGCTAGGATTATAGCCATACACCATCATGCCTGGCCAGTGTATGGTTTCAGAATTATTAGTCCATACCATTATGAAGCATAGTCCTACTAGAGTTTAATCTTTGCTTAATTTTTATCCTCATCCTGAGAGTAGAGTCAGTATACTTGGTTCATAAGTTACTTGGGGTGGTCCTGTCTTCACTTGAGTATGGTTATCTTTTTTAAAAAATAAAAATTAATTTGTTTCTTCTGGCTTTTTTATACCCCATGAATGTGGCCTCTCTTTAAATTTATATTTAATTTTATTTTTAAATCCTATATTAATTGACATAATTGTACATAATAATGAGACAA